TTGAATCTAGGATGGAAAAACATAGTTTATGCGTTGAACAGATTGTTTCTGTCTTTGATAATAGGATATAAAATTTCTTTGTAATCTTTTTAGTGTCTTTTTGTTTCGTTGGTTTATTAGTAGTATTTATATTTTCCTTTGGTATTACAATTTCAAGAATGTACGTAACTTTTTTTAATGTTACAAATGATCACATTATCATGAGTACAATAATCGTTAAAAGTGATGACTTTTTAATAACTAAGACGCTGTGCTGTTATAGTCAGAACATTTTCATTAACTGAGTTCTAACTGATAAATCTTTAGTGGAATTTTCCCTTAGAGACATCGATACAGTATAAATGTAAAAAGTGACTCTCCATATTTATCAAAGGGATGTTACTTCAGTAAAGCCTGGATTTAGAGTGCCAGTTTGTTACAAAAAAAGCAGACGCCGACTGTTGGACTTGTATTTTACTGAGTTTACGCCGCTGTATCTCTTCCATGTGTCCGTACGTTCGTGTTCGGTTGATAATCGCTAGTTATCGCATAAAACATTTTTATATAAAATAATTAATAGATTCAGGCGTTACTTTGCGGAAATTTATATTAAACAAAATGTAAGAATTTTGGCCGATTGTCGTACAAACAACATCTGAGGATGACTCGTAGAGATGCGAAACAGGATGTCGGGTATATTGTTGGTGATGGTGTTTGTGACTGTAGTTTTGCGCTTGTCTTATTTTATTACTCTTAGGCGGCGGGAAGGTGGGAAAATTAAGTGCATGACAAAAACACAAGCGCAGCTATTTTGCACGATTTAATTTACTGGGTTCGGGGACTAGTTAAGTAATTTACTTCCATTTTGCTCTACTAAGAGTTTTACATCTTCTTGTGATAGGGGCGCTGTGCAATCTACATTACAAAATTTTTAAATCATTAGCACTTGAGCTCCTTGTGAAAGAGTAGGGGGAGTCCCCCGAGTACCGGACACTTAAGGTTTTGCAGAAATTAAACAAATTCAGATCATGTTTTATTACGACACGTAACATTTTGAGATACACAATCATATTAAACATTCAAATAAATCAACATAAATGACTATCGAACAATTTTAACAACTAGAAAAAGAAACTAATCATTGGTCTTGTTTTTGGTATCACTGAAAACTGGCACCTAGTACCGGACAAGTATTAATTCAAACCCCTAATACCGGACAGTACCGTTAACATCGAGATTTCTGAAATAAAAACTTAGTCAATAATCTTTCATTAATACAGCAAATATACTGAAACATAAAGTATTCATTATTTTAAATAATATAACCTGACATGTGTATATAATTTTAAGAAACACGGCCACTTTCGATAAATCAACGCAAACAATAATTGAATTTAGTGAAAACAATTTAAAGATAACTTAAAAAAATTACAACGATTACAAACATAGAGATTTGAGCACTGTGGGATATCCGCGCAGGTTTCATGTGCTCATTCTTTACATGACCCACACTGAATCCAGTCTTCTTCGTAGTCTTCACAACAAACAACACAGTAGTACTTTTTTAGCTGTTTTTCAACCGATTTTATTTTTGTTTTCTTTATTTTTCATGTCCTTCGTCTTTTTAATTTTGCGATTGCCTTCTTTTATTATTTTTTTTCATTTTATTTTTCTTCTAAACGTTTGTATGGCGAATCAGTCAAAACTTCACTTTTTCAGCTCGACGTTTCCTTGTTTGTACGCTGCAGCAACATCTGGTAGTGGAGCAAATTATATAGCATAGAACATTTTGTCAAAATAAGATTGTCTCCCTACTAGGGAACTTGTATGGGTAAAAATATACTTGTCCGATACTAGGGAATCAGATATTGTCCGAACGTAGGGACACACCATACCTAAGTAAAATTTCGATTAAAATAACGTTTATTAATATATTTGCCACAAAAGTATTTGAATGTAAAATGTACTTACCAATGATTAAACAAAAAGCAATACACGCAATGTATTCTCTCGAAATAATAATTTGCGGTTTTTCCAATATTAGTCGATGCAACTGATTTCCGTGCGAAATGTGCAAAATGTCATCTGTAAATCGTATCAAGCGAGACTAAGGCCCCCCACGCCGCAGGGGGTTTCTTTCCATTAAGTTTAACATCTTTTTATAAACGAGAGCAAATGAGAGCAGCAATTATTTCATGTTTGGACGTGAACTGGCCGGTACTATACGCTGTCCGGCGCTCGGGGGATTCCTCCTACGTCCAGCAAAATACTGCCACTTTATATATTTCTACCGTCAAGTAGTAAAGTAATACAATTTACTATAATACATTTGTCACTTATCTTAGAGTACAGCTAATTGTGATTTACATTGTTTTATACACTCCAAAATCTGAAAGAATTGTAAGAAATAACGAGCGGAACCCAAAAAAACAGGCATATATTTTCGATGTCATCAATCCAAACTTGTTCTATAACCTTACATGATATTTAGTGCCAGCTAACACACATAAAACAATAAAAATCCTCGCAAGCTGCTGAAACAGACCCTTAACATTTAACGCTTTTACGAACGAAAAGTGCATTAAAAGTTGTTGATATTTGAAATTTAAATTCTGTACTGTCGCCTACAACGAAACGTATACTTCGTAGCCCAATTTACTTTTGTATGTATAATATACATTTGACACTTACGACACGTACACAGTTTATACGCGCAGCCATTTTTGTTGCAGTGCAGAGCTACAAGTAGCAAAGTATGTAATTCAAAATAAATAAATGGCGTACAAGTTGTATATTGGTACAGCTGGCATTAAAAACCACAAAATGAACAATATTGTAATGCCACGTGCTTTTATTTATTAGCCATAACACTTAGCCTTTCAAATGAAGCTATTTTGCAAAGCACGTAGGCGTATTTTACAATTCGGCTGGGACATAAACACATAGCGACTACAATCTTAAAATCTCTGTAATCGTTTGTAGAATTGTTATAATATTGGCCAAAAGGCGTATCGAAGTATAAAAGATAAACATGTCAAAAAATAAATATCAAACTTTAATCAATTAAATATTAACCAAGTAGTTCTACAATGTTTTGCCATTATTAGTATAATTTTATATATCCCCTTTCATTAAAAATCCTATGTTAAAAATGCAACTCTAAAGTTGAGATTCAAAAAACGAACTTTGGCTTTGACTAACCAAAGATGGCGATCTAAGCAAGTATTTCATATTTATAAAACGAACTTTGCATAAGTTTAAGCAAGAAATTATGAATAAAACTCAAAGTTTAATTGAAGTTCTTGCTAAGACAAAGTTCATGATATCATTATCATGATCATTATACTTGTACACTCTGCAATCGTTCTTAACGGCTTATTATGATAAAATACAACAGCTTTACCAATTCTGGACGTTATTCATAAATCACAAATTAAAAATATCTCGGTTACTCTTAAAATGTGCGGTACAATATTATTTTTAAAATGACCATAGAGAAATAACATTTTATAACTAAAAATCGTTTTTTTTTAAATGGCAAAAACCGCACGAACGTTTTGGTCAACCCATTATTTACCATTAGCCTTTTACTAACATGGGATATTGATTGTCCTAAAAAAATATATGTATGGTAAATATTTCGTAGGAATATCAATTTTATCTTCGTTGCGTATTGACGTTTATTCCAAACGACTATGTACTCGTATATAAATATATAACCTACTTACTGGTTAACATTTTAGATGAAATTATCTGTTTCCTTAGGGTCCTAATCTTAGCAGTACAAAGTCAGGGTTGATGATTTATATTAATTTTTGTTCTACAATGCCACCTCAACACGCTAAAGAAGAAAAAAGAAATTTTATTTGACGACCTGGGTGATCCAAGAGTTTGCACTGTAAGCGTTGAATGAAGATATCCCGGGTTGGTTTTCTGTAGGAACAATGTGACAAATTTTTCTATTTATTTTTTTTATAAAAAAATAAGTGCGCATATCATCTCCATTTCACTTGATAGAAAGTGACGATGAGATCGACGATGGAGCATGTACATGCACATGTATGCTTATGCCTATCGAATCTCGCCTTAAAAAAAAGAATGGAAAAGACCCAAGTAATAAGTCTGCAAGCAGGGAATACCACTCCACAGTCGCTCACTATATATGTAAATGACTAGATGTAGCTAATGTCATATTGTCAAGTTTAAGTATATAAATATGAATCAGAATGTATTCAATTCGAATCTTCACTAAACCAACAACATAGTTCGTTTTACGGGGACCCCGGGTTCAGGTTATTATTTATTATTATTATTTATTTATTAATTACAAAAAAAAAAATTTCTTAATCTAGAACATAGTCCCACTTAGTTCTACTTGGTTCTGGTCTGGGTATTCTGATTACAGCCCCGGAGTGAAATCCATCGCTCTTGTAGTACTTTGAGACCAGGGGTGATTGTTGGGAAAATTGTCTTTATTAATAATTTTCTTTTTTTTATTATCTTACGACGGGACGAATAAAACGTTGCGCCTGATGAAAAGCTACACACCTGTCCATAACAGTTGCAGTGCCACTCAGAGGTTTAAATCGCAAAGATTTGAGGGGCACTGCCACTGCGCCCGTCGCCCTGAGAAATAACTTGACAAGTCAAGTCCCATGTGCCTGAAATTTCACCAGCCCCCATACCCTTCAAAACCAGAACACAGTAATGCTGACATTGCTGCTTGGCGGCAGAAATTGGTTAGGTGGCAGTTGTACCCTGGACGAATTCTTACACAAGGAGCTCTACTGCTACTTCACATGTTCTACTTATGTTATTTGGATATTATAAATATTTATTGTTTAACGTATTATGTAATGTAACACGCAGACTCTAGAAATGATGGCACAACGACAAAAATGGCGCGCATAAACAAGTTTTAAAAATAAACTTCACGGTTGCCGCAGTACCTTTCATGGTACTTCCTGGTATGAAAGAAATGAATAGCCATAATTATAAGTTCTCACGTATAACAATTGCAGGACAATGTTGAATATAGAGCAGCCGCCGCGCGTCGATTTGAAACACGAGACAAAGAAGGGGTTCGAGAAGGTGAGACCACGTCTTCACCCACGGTTTAAGGTTTATTTTCAACAATCAAAACTTGCTGATGTTTCTTGTACGTATTTATATTTTATTATTATTATTAATGCGTTTTTAACCGACTTCAGAAAAGATTAAGGAGATTCTCAATTCGACTTTATTTTTTGTTTGTTACGCTGTTACTCCGGCAGTTGTGACCGTTTTCTATGATTCGTTTTTTTTATGAAAACGGGGTAGCTCAGTAGTGGGCCCATCTAAGGGTGTCAAATTAAAGGATCATTCCGGTTTACTGAATTTCATCCACTTTCCGTTAGCCGATTTCATAAAACTTGGCAAGTAATTCCACTAACTTTTGACATCGGTATTTTTTAATAAAAAAAAGTTATAATTATTGTGAATTTTACTTACCTATCTATCCTACATTTAATGTATTAAGAAATTCACTTACATTCACTCATAGTATCTATATTTTAAAAACAATAAACTTACAAAATAAGGATGTATCACAGCGATGCTAATAGACAATAAGCTTCTCAAGTACTGTACAGAAAGAATATTTATTTGTATGAACAACAAAGTGATAATACAATATACAAATGCAAAACAAAACAGTTAAACATAGCTGAGTAGTAACTACTAGTAAAAATGCATCTTATTAACCATACTGCCAGATTTTAGATTGTAATTATTCTCTAATAGTTTTATTTTTTTACATTTTGAAGAGAAAACGGCCATTTTGAAACTCCCTAAATTTAGCTGATATTTTAAATTTTAGAATGTAAAAAACAATAGGTTAGTCAAACGTTATTTGAATTTAAATCTAAGGAACATTTTGTGCTATTAAGGCCCGCTACCGAAAGCGCAAGATGTTGTGAAGGAATATTTAACTGTCTGTAAAAAAATCTTATAGTACCTACCTGTTAGTTTTCTAGCTCTTAAGACACCAGTGTACGATTTTTATGTACCTACGCTAAATGCGTATTAATAACATGTCTGTATTTTCACAGAAATACCCTCCTCACATCGGTATCGGTACTCCGGAAGATACGCTGCAGTCATGTTTCGGCCTAATCCCGAAACCACCCAAAAAAGATATAATTAGATACAATTTAAACGCTAGTAAGGCGAGTATACACAGAACTCTTTATTCAACCGGTCCCGCGTGATAACGACACACGGTGTCCGTGACGATTTTGGTACTGTAGCGTCCTAGAGCGACACGGTATCGGTAAGTAATTTCATCCACCATTAAAATGAATAATTAAGTTTATATATTTTATAATAATAATATGTTTACCAAAATCGTAAGGGACACCGTATGTCTCTAGGGCGCGTGACGCTAACATACATGTATAATAATAATTAACCTGCACGTGGAAGAAGGTTCACACCTTTAGAAAACTATGCAGTCTCCAACCCCTAAACCCTCTCCTTAGAGGAGAATTTTCCCAGCCGAGAGACATTTACTGGCTTGATGACGATGATAAATAATGATTATAGAAACTGCGATAAAAATAAATTTCTATAAAATATTTTCACACCTCACATGTCTTAACTGATCTCATAGAAAGTACGACGGACATTTAGAAAAACCTTAAAAAAATGTCGAATTATGATAACAATGTTTATATTTATCATCCAGTATATAACCAGAAGTAGAGACGAAATAAGGGCCATCCATCACTGGCAACTCATCAGGCAAATGGGCCTTATGTCACATTTAAATATCAACTCTCGTTTGCAAATAATGCAGCGCCAACAACTGACCTGTGCGTACGTTTCCGTATATTCCAAAAATATTCTGTATTTATTGTAATAAAGATAATAATCTCTAACTGTAGGGGGCTGTTCCATTCGGTGCTGTGGGAAAAACAGCAAAACATCTAATTACAAAACAAACGGATTCACATTTCATCTGTAATTAAATATTAAATACGTATAGCAAATCCCAAGTTAAACTGGTCGATTTGAAGTTAAACAATTGACGACACCCGTCATTTGTTTTGAATTCGGGCTGGTCAATCGAAGCGCAGTTATCACCGTAATGATATAGCAGAATAGTTTTCAAACAAATTAAATGACATTTCGTTTATGTGTCTGGTTACACCTTTTTTTTTTTTCATTGCCACGTATATCAGAATGTTTAATTTGAAAAGAGAATATATATATTTGAATCGTCTTTTGATTTCGATTAAACGTTCTGGTACGTGTGGCCAGTAGTCTAAATGAAAGATGTTATCATAATTCAACATTTTTAGCGATCTTTAAATACGTCCATATAGATCATAGGTTCCTAAATTTTTTAGCAAACCTTAGGCAAAACTTAGGCAAGGTAAAAAAATTTCAACGCCCACCACTACAGAAAATAATAAAACACATATTTTTTTTACATTAACTTTAACACAAAAAAATCACAAAAAAAAATTAGGCATGTAGTGAAGTTTATGCATCATTCAGATTTTTTTCAAGTACGATAATATCCCTGGACAGCATCAGCGCATCCCGATTGCTTCCGAGGCCCCTAAGACGTTTCAGCGCCCACTTAGGTAGGGACCACTTTGGGAAACTATGAATTATAGATGATATAGAAACTAAGCATACAGTATTAACATTTTAAAAGTTAACATCGATGAATTTCTAAAAATATATCTCAAACACACCTAATAATCTGGGGTATCAGGAAAGCAAAATCGACGAAGCGTATGTGGGCCCAATTTTGTCACTGATTATTTTAAACAATGGAAAGTTCGGTGTCCCCTTCACAATAAAATTCAGTCTTTTACTCTTGAAAAGTTTACTTGATTTATGTCTCTCGTTTCGTGTTGGCACTGTGTCGAAGAAAAACTACTGTAAAAAGTTCATAATAAAGGCAAGAATCTTTATCATATTAAAAGTTAGTAATACTTGTATTTATCACACAACGCTTCGACTTCTCGACTCCATTAAAGTTGCATTTGCTAAAGAATCACGAGAACTGAAGCGTGAGGAAAACTCCCGCTGTCGAGATCCCACTTGCACTTACAATGCATTAAAGGCGAACTCGGAAACTTTTGGACTAACTTTTCTTGGTTTTTGTACTTTTTAGTTTGCTCAATTGATTACAAATGTCTTTTGTAAACTGTAGTTTGTACTTTTTTGTATGCTTATATATAATGTACCGGCACGCTATGATGGCCGTTTTTCGACATTTGTCCGCTCATCAAGTTTCGTATTAATTCATAACGTCGGTTTGTTTGAAAAAACAAATATACGCGATTTAAATCCGGAAAAATAGTTTCATTTCCTATACATTGAAGGAGCTAATTGATGTAGGGGAAAGGTGTACGAGATGATCCTTGGAGGTAAGATGAACCTTTTCAATTGTAGCGAAACTAGTAACGTCATCTAGATATTTTTTTCGGTAAAATGTAGGCCTCAATGAGCGCTCTCATCAGTCAATTCGTTATGGCGATGTGAGTGACAAGTTCATTTTTGTGGAAATAAATAAAAATTGTGTGAGTTTGATCTAAGGTAAAGTTGATTAAAAGCTTAAGCAACTTCCATTCTAAGCAATCAATTGCTAAGATTTTTGTGTTGGTGACTTTGTATAATGCTCTATTTACTTTTTTAATGGCGTGGTAACAGTAAACATCATACAGGTTATTATGCCGAACAAAAAATGAAAATATGTAAATTGGGGCAAGATGATTATGGTTTTGGTGTACGAGATGATCCGGGATCATCTTGTATATTGTTAATATTGTTAACGGACTATTTTTAATTTGTACGTTTTTCTGAGTACTGAAAACTCTTAATTAAATAGCTTGCAATACGAATAAAATAGTAGAAGACTGGATTTCGTTTACATGATCGATCTCGACTAATAACAAATATAAATGCTTTTTCTTGTTTTAGACCAGGCCGCGTAATTGTAAAAGAAAAACCATTCGCGGTGGGTGGTCGGAAGACTATATGATCTAAAGAACTAGAGGCGTAAAAAGTAGGACGCCACATAGATCGGCAAGTAAATAGTTCGCAGTAGGTACGCGTGCATGTCATTAAAAAGTTGCGCTAAAGGTAAAAATAAATGGTCTGTCAGTTCAATGAAATATTTAGGTGAAAAAAAAAACTGTTTTCATCAGATATGTTCAACAGAAAATCGAACTCGTAAAGTACATTAAAGATATGGAGACGAGGATGGATATCAACTTGCCGTAAAAAAACAATATCACCCGCCCTTAGGTACCTGTAAGATATAAATTAATTAGGATTATTTGTTCTCGAAGTTCCGTAACTGTTGTTTCATACACCTAGATTACATAAGTGAGGACTTTGTTAAGTCTAAAAAGTTGTTGTTTTCATTTATTTCTACCAAAACCTAGAAATATTCCTAAATAGAGGCAAGGAGATCCCCTGGATCATCTTGCCCATACCCTTAGGATCATCTTGGACACCCCGGTGTCCAAGGCGATCCTTTAGTAGGGTTTTAAAAATATTCAAATATAATAATGAAAAATAAAATAATGAAACGTTTTTAGTAAGACAACATGTAAATAGATAAATTTTGTATCATTCGACGCTTTTACATCTACTTTAAACTGAATACCTTTTAAATTACCACCATTCTCCCTTAAGGGGATCATCTGGTACACCTTTCCTCTACATTGTTGTCAATAGTGACGCACAGTAAACTTTTTGGAATGTATAATTTTACGACACAACTCGGCATTTGTTTTTCGAAATTCGAAATTTAAAAAATGAAATCTAATACGATCGTCACTTATGGGATCGCTGGCCAGCACAACTTCCACCTACGGCAAACTCGCGTCAAAGCTCAATGCAAAACAAAGCAGTTTCGAATTAACGATATAATAAATAAACATTTTTATTTTCGTTTTATTAAAAATTTTATTCTGCTACCCCTTGCAGTACTAGTTATAAATATAAAAACTTATATAATTATGCGACTCGCATTAGAATGTTTTTTCAATAATGAAATGAGATTTGACCACATTATATTGTAATCTCTCAAAACGGCCATCATAGCGTGCCGGTACTGTAGTTTTAGTATTCATACTTAGAATAATAACGCATAGAATGATAGTTTCATATCAAACGAACTGTCACAAGTGAGGCAAAAACCAAATTCATGTAGGCGTAAGCAACTTGTAACTACGCTCGTCGGCACGCACACAAATATACAAATAATGATGCCATGGAATAACATTTCCCTCAAAAGTGGGGAAATTGTATCTTGCTTAACTCATCATTAAGTTAAAGGTGCCTACAGATTTGCCCGACATTGTCGATCAGGTGCCTACAGATATGCTCGGTTTTGTCGATGAAAAACGAATATAGCACTTATTTGTAAATCCAAGATGGCGGACACGATTTTTCAAAATATGCTATATGGGTATCCTTTTCGAGGTATTTGGGGATGCTCATTACGAATATGGCACTCATTTCTAAATCCAAGATGGCGGACACGAGTTTTCAAATAAATGCAATATGGGTATCATTTTCGAGGTACTTGGGGGTGCTCATTACGAATATGGCACTCATTTGTAAATCCAAGATGGCGGGCACGATTTTTTCAAAAAAATGCTATGTGGGTATCATTTTCGAGGTATTTGGGGATGCTCAATGCGAACATCTCGAAAACAATACCCAACTTGCCATTATTCGAAAAATCGCGCCCGCCATCTTGGATTTAGAAATAAGTGCCATATTCGAAACCTAAAACCGAAAATGCCATAAGCAAACATTAAAGAAAATAACTGTTAAAATAGATTAAAAAATCGCTTAAGAATGCTCCCCTTTTAAGAAAATAAAATATTTTAATATAAAATATTTCGCTTGAGTTACGAAAAGAAAGACATATAATAAGCTATCAAAGTTGTACTGGTGGTGCCAACACTATAGTAGAAACAAATATATACTGTAAATTTGTTGCAATATGTGCGTTGCATTCAAATAAAATTAATATAAATAATTATTCAATAAAGCATGAACGCAGAGCCGTTAAAAGTATTATAAAATAATTAAGTGTCCCAATCACTTACAGGAGTTAACGAAAACATTTAATGTTTATTCGAGTAAATATTAGTTCAAAATGCGCAAATAAATCGAAATTACAGGCACCACTAAAATTTACGTAATATAATTATTTTGATACAGAATAGCAAAATGGGGAGAAAAAAAATTCGTTACTTTGCAACACTTTCGTATCTTGTTGCCGCGAAATTATTTTTCTGTTTTAGTGAATATTTACATAAAAATATGAGTTGAAACGCATTACTTACTTGTGGAATGCGATGTTAGTGTCTATTTTGTTTGTCTGTTGTATTTTTACACCCATTTACCGCACATTTCGTCATTTTTAGCAAAAAATTTTGGAGCTGTTCGCGGTGCAATATGACCTTGAGCACTAACAGCCCGCGCGCTCCTGGGACGCGTTTGGAACCCTCTAACTTGCCTCACTTAGCGTGTGCGGGCTAGGTTTCTATGCGTTATTATTCTAAGTATTCATATATAATTTATTAATTTTCTTATCGAACTGGAATACATCCCTCGGTCGGAGAAATTTATTATTAATTATAATTACGTAGAATTAACGTATACATAGTTCAACTATACCTGCAGGTTAAGTTGGATTTTACTACCCATGCTTATAAAACAAAATTACTGTTAAGTATACATAGACATACTCTAAAGTGCGTTATCCCTTTAGAATCTCCGGTACTTATGCGAGCTGGAATACATCCATCCTGAAGATGAGGGTCGCAGATTCGTGATGGCATACAACCTGGGCGACGGCGCCGTGAAGATCAGCGAAATACCGCGCCGCAACTCAGGCATCCGAGAGGGGGTGTTCCTCAGTTCTAGGAAGCTGGAACTTCCGGACTCAGATCATAACTTCCCGAGTTATTATACTCCTGACAAGTTTTACATAGGTAAAATAGCTACTAAGATATTGTATAAATTGCTCTCTATGGCCAGAAATCCCTGTTGCATACGTTTTGTGACATTTGTCGAAAATATATATTTAAATATATTATAATTAAATTTTATAATATATTATAAAATATTAATTTATTTAGTTAAAATATATAATATATTATATGTATGAGAGCGTACGTTTCACCAAAACTTGATATGCGAATATTATACACAGTTTATAAATCATTTTTGATATAGCATGCATTTAAAGCTAAATTTATGCAATAACGTAAACAACAATTACAATTTAATTATAAATTATACAAATAGGTTGTAAAAAATATAACAAACATTACTTAAATTTTACATTTTGTTATAAACAAAAAATCATCAATATTGTGTAGCATTGAGTAACTAACAAATGATACAATTTCCTTTTAAATTGTCTGTAATCTAATAATTCTTTTACAGCATCCCGTAATTTATTAAGTAGGTCATTTGGAGGCTAATACAAACACCATTCTATTGTAAAATTCCAAATTAGGGCGTTGTTTGTGCCGTGTGTGTCTGGCACATTGATGGTAGGGTTAATATCTTCAGTTTTTTAAAGTAAGGTACGTAACTCTCTCGCTGAGGCACACCAAACATGGCCCTGACACATTTCTTTTGAGTTTTATATAGAGGCAAAATATGTGTTGCAGCAGAGCAGTAGTCCATATCGCAAACTAGAGGCTACATGTATGCGTTATAATATACAAAGAGCAGTTTTTTGTGATATCATTCTTTGTGATGTGATTCATTAGTATGTACATTTAATTACAAGTCGCCGATTTATGAGCTCACAACGGCTTAATATATTTTAAATATATTTCAACAGATGATAAATTCAAAAAATGTAAAATAATATACAGTACTAATTACTATCGTAATATCTTTCGGCAATCTTCGTCACTAGATGCAGACCGAACGCATTCAATCGACTTAGGAGTTTAAGGGGTAGCTAGTACCTATTCGTTATTTGGTTTGTATTTTTGTTAACATGCTAGGATTTTTTTAAGGAGTAAATGTATTATAAATAGGGAATAGTTTTACAGCTCCATATAGTTCACATGGAAATTAAGACAAACAACAACAAAAGTGCAAAGTTCTGAATTCAAATTAGTATAGATGATAAATCTAATAATTACTAGACATGTACATTTCGTGTTCGGGGCATTCGGAAATCCGAAAAATGCCGAGAGACACTAAGAAATTAGTTGTATTGTAATTGTTATCCAGGTGCAATAATCCCAGTGTTCAAACATCGATTTCGAATTATTGGATGCGATCTATTCGTGTACAACTACATGAGTGCCAACCCGGACAAGTTCCCGCAAGAGGTGATCGATAACGTTCGCAACTATCACATGCGCGAGGGCAATTTGAAGACAGAGCTGAAGGTGAGATGATTATCTGTTGCTTTTGGCTGTATCGGTAATCGTACGCGATTAGTAAATACTGACTAATAATAATAGTAAGACATTTTCATAAGCATATTTACAAAAAACAGCTTAACAGTTAACAGTGCGGAAATGTGGAATCTAGTGCCAATGAAAAGGCTCAGCCTCAGCACTACATGCTGATTTTCAGATTCCACCTTCGTACTTGGACATCCGCTGCTGATCATTATGAAATTTCACAAGAATTATACATTTTAAACGTCGAGTATATAACCAGAAATAGAGACGAAATGTCTTTATTTTTTTTAAACTATTCTGCCAAATCATTACGGTGAAAACTGCGCTCCGATTGGCCAGCCCGAATTCGAAACAATTGACGGGTGTCGTCTATGGTTTTACTTCAAATCGATTGGATTTCTTTCCTATAATGGATGAAAATTTAAAAATTACGTATTTAATATTTAATTACCATTGAAATGTGATTCCGTTTGTTTTGTAATTAGATATTTTGCCGTTTTTCCCACACCAACGAATGGAACAGCTAGAGATATTATCTTTATTACAATAAATACAGAATATTTTTGGAATATACGGAGACGTACACACAGGTCAGTTGTTGGCACTGTACTGTATACCAGGGATGGATGGCCCTTATTTCGTCTCTATTTCTGGTTGTAAATACACTGGATGATTTTAAATTTGTAGGACGTGCTTAACATTTATTTATTATTTCGATGAGCACACGAGTATACCTATATATTACAAGTAAAAGAACATTAAATAGCGGAGACAAACAACACTGGAACAGGTTTCAACTATTTACATACATTTAAACTTATTTAGGTGCGAAATAAACTAAGAAGAAACTTAAAACAAAAACAAACAAATTATTTGCTACGTTAATACAATTACGATAACAATTTAGTCCAGCAACATTGTGATTTCTGTACGTTAAGTAGCCATTGCTTACACTTTCATTTTAAAGTGTGCAATGACTGGCTAAGTTTAATCGGGGGTGGAATATCATTCCATTTAGAGTGGATTGTCATTTAGACGAAGCAAACCGAAAGCTGAAGGAGTGTAACCGAGGAAACGAACGAAATTGTAACACTGGGTAGTGCGTTTCCGAGTCTGATCCTTCACTCTGTCATACCAGCACAATTTATTCTAGACGCCAACAAACCCTGTAATTGCTATTAAGTATTGACTTTTTATGTCCATGTTCATGTTGATGAACTTGAACATGGACGTTCACTCAACCTCACTTTTACTCATCAACAAAGTAAAGAGGGACTTGCATAGATTTCTCACAGATGGCGCTACGGTAAAAAGCCGTTGAAAACAAACAATAAAGATCTGTAATAAGCACATAGAAAATTTTGTAAGGTCTGTTGGTTCATTCCATATCTCAGCTGGGAGCGCGTCAGCCACGTTTATGCTGAAGGCGCTGGTTTGAATTAAGGACTAAATGAAGGATTTTTTCTTAGTATTCGATGATCGAACACTAAGAAAAATTTCTTCGTTCCAGTTCAAAGATCGAACTTCGATCTTTTGAACTGGATAATAATTATAACAAACTAGTTGAGTAATTTCACAAAAAATAATTGAATATCATGGTAGTAAAACATCGTGATATTCAATAAATTAATGAATTCATTAATTAATTCTTCGGCCGAGTGTCGGACAGTCAAAAACCCCTGCGATACTTCGTGGAGAGGCGAAACACGACGTATCAGGTGTATTTTTGGTAGTTTATTAGTGGTATCTGTAACTGTAGTTGCGTTTGTATTATTTATTTTATTAATTATTTTATTTTATTTTTATGCTACTGAGCGCGATTTAACCTCCACTGAGTTCGCGGAATAGCAAATTAATGTTTTTTAAAAACCACTTAACTCTCACCAACAAGTTAGTTATGCACATTATTGCAAAACTTATAGACGTTCCTACAAGATAAAAATAGGAATTGACCGCCGTGATCGAGTGGCATGCAACCTTGCGTCTCTGATGTCCCGGTTTCGTTCCCCGGCCGGGTCATATAGATAACTATATTTTGTATATATTTAATTCGTAAAAAGAATTCTACTTGACTTCCCCCACTACTGAAGACCTTTATTAATTAATAACCAAACTTCGTTCTATTTTATGTAGATACTTAAAAATTGTCGCTTTCAGCGAATTGACGCTTCGAGGGTTGCAATACTGCAATAATAGCGAGGGTCTCAATCCGACATGACGGCTTATGTTATGTCGCATCAGAAGCGATCGCATTTGATGAAGTTGCCATCATCGCAAATTGAATAACTTCTTCATTGTCTGAATCAGAATCGGATGATTCAAGAGAAAACATTGCGAAAGTATGAACTCTCCGAGAGCCACGACGGTATTGATTCAAAATATCGTCAGAACACGACATAATAATATAGATGTGGTCGCTAGCCATAATGACGTCAGAGCCCGTCACGACATGTCACGTCAGACAAATATAAACGCGGCTTTATTGTGTAACAGGGCGTCTCACCGCTATGGGACATGGAGTGCTTTAAATATTGTGTCAGATTCTGGTACATCTATACTAATCTAACTAATCAATAATACATTTTATGCAACACTTAGATATTAACAACACACATAAAGTTAAAAAATATATACTATATTGTCTTTTAAAGGCGGCGGTCCGTGAAGTGTCAGAGGCGGCGATTCGCGCTGAATTGGCGGCCATCGGTAAACAAGCAATAGTAGAACCCAGCGATATGGAGAAGTGTCTTACAGCGTTGAACGTTGTCGAAGGCAGTGCTACCCCTCCACGGCCACCTACGCCACCTATGACTACAGACATTATCTCTTACGACGACTCTCTGCGTGCTGCTAGACATAGGTGAATCTCATGGAATTTTGTGATTTGATCAGAAATATTCCCCAATCTGCAGTGGCGGATTTGCCCTAAGGCACAGTAGTTTCCGTCAAGTCACCGCCGGAATCTCATGATTAAGGACCACCTATTGATTCGAAACATGTCGAGCAAAAATTCGACTTAATACGTGAATTCGTTATTTTAGTTAATGTGTTCTATAATACGTCCACTTAGTATACAATGTTTGTCTGATACAAATTTTGCAGCGATTCCACCTATTTGGCTTACAGTAGGCAGTCACCTTGCGATGAGATCACTCCGCTTAAAGGCATACTGAAATCGGGTGGCGCTCGCGACGACCACCAGAAGGTGGTTTGCTTTAGCGGGCCTGTGGTTGACAAAGAACACGAGGAAAAAGAGAAGCATCCATACTACCCGCCAGGCAAGCAGCCGCATTTCAACGAGGAAGAGGACTTCTGCGCTAGATACAGAGACCCGGTAAGAATTACTAATCATTACGAAACTTAATTCAAGTTCGAGTTCAAGTCTAATAAAAATCGCTCGACAACATAACTCAAGAACAGTAAACTAAACTTAAATCATCTACTTGAAATGCGCAATGGAACGTGGTGCCTATGCCGCCTTCAAGCCTGAAACTTACTAAGTCATTCTTAAATATATTGTGGGTCATTAAAGCTTTGTGACTGTAACATTTTACACAACATTATATATATATATTGCGTTGCTTTACTACGATCATCGACTCATTTGCCAATCGTAGAATTCTTTCTTCTTCTATGAGCAACCGCGTGCCTTCTATTAAAGAGTGAAATGTATCTATAGGGGAGGCATGCCTACCTTATAAGTTGTTGTTGATTTCGTAAAGCATCTTTATTCACACTAATTTAGCTTCGAAACTTGTCGGAAACAAAATCATATCTTCCATTAAAACTTTATAATTAGGACGCAAAGGAGCGCGCAGAAAGGCGCGCCCGAGAAGAGTGCGCCTACGACATCGTGCCACCGCCAGAAGCCGCCGGCGTCAGCAGTATGATAGACAACGAGCAAGAGAAACCAAAATTGCCCGGATACCTGGGCACGTTTAATGTCGACTGCAAAGAGGTACTGTATACAATGTACATTTCGAAGCACCAACATCTACTCATTATAGAACAAAAAATATATACATAGGGCGCACTATAAGTTTCCGGAACTGGCCACTTACATAAACAATATTTAAAAAGTAATTACAACATTTGAAAATGGAACTCTTTGGCTGTAGAATACAGTTTGTTTCGTCTGACTGTCACTTTTTACATTGTGGCATCATTGTAGAAATTGGTTGTCTACATCACCATGGATTTAACTCGTGAAAATTATCGTAGTGTGATTTTCTACGACTTTAAGCGTAATTTAACAGCTCAGCAGAGCTTCGCTCGGATTCAAACTGCTTTTGGCGATGAAGCACCATGCAAGATGACTATTTATAGCTAGTTTGCAAAATTCAAACGCGGTCGTGTGAATCTCAGTGACGAATTTCGTGATGGTCGTTCGTCCACTGCTGTGAACAACAAAAATATCGATGCTGTGCGCCGTGCGATCAAAACAAACAGGCATGTGACATAGGTACCATGAGATTCGGGCATCTTTAAGCATAAGCATGAGTCAAATATAATCAATATAATCAATACTACACAAATATTTGGGTGTGAAAAAGCTGTGTTCTCGGTGGATCCCACACAATTTCACTGAGGCTCAAAAAACGGATCGCGTCACTTGGTGCAATACCATGCTTACCAGATTCAATGAAGGGGCGTCAAATTTGGTGTGGGACGTAGTAACAGGTGACGAAACATGGATTTATAGTTACAATCCCAAAACAAAGCAGCAATCGAGCGTTTGGATCTTTTGAGATGAGCCGAAACCAACCAAAGTGGCGCGCATGCAAAGTGCCTCTAAGCGGATGATGGCTTCTTTTTTTAATAACACGTGGCTACTGTTGCTTTGGAGAATCGTTGTACTGTGAATACTGATTGGTACACGATCATTTGTTTGCCAGAAGTTATTGACAAACTCCGTAAAAATAACCGTAATCGCCGTATCATCTTGCACCACGATAATGCCAGTTCTCACACGGCCAGACAGACAAATGCATTTTAGAAGGTGAACAACGTTGACTTTATGAGCCACCACGCGTACAGTCCGGACCTGGCACCTTGTGACTTTTATTTATTTTCAAAAATTATGAACCACTTACGCGGTCAACGATTTTCATCACCTGAAGAGGCTGTCGAAGAGTGGCATAAATGTTTTCAAAATTGGTTCATTCGTATGAAAAAGTGCATTAACGCTAACGGAGAATATTTTGAGAAACAATAAATTCATTTCTGACCATTTATACTATTTTTTTCTCATTCATTCCGGAAACTTATAGTGCGCCCCATATATACTTCGTATACATAGAATTAATTGCCACATTTTCCTTGCCTAAAAAGGTCGCTAGTCATCAATGCCTTTCCCTAAACTTATTATTAAGGCGCCTTCAAATAAGACGCTTGTAGAAGCGGTGCTAGAGGCGCGACCCTACTTTGAAGATGTAATGAGTAACATTATTGATATTTATAAGATAGTAATATATTCTAGAGTATACGCTATTTTTCATTAGGTACCCGAATACATGCGGCTAGCACCCGATGCATATGACAAAATAAAGCATATGCGACGCGATGTGCCCGAGATCTCACCGGCAGCGACTAGGGTTGCACAACATCCTCGCCTACCTCCTGCCGATGTGGACACTTGCGTCCATCCACCTTTAGAGGAAACTGGGCCTTGCGCCCCTCGTAAAGAAGAGGATGTGGCATTTTCCTGCGCGCACGTTGAGCCCAAGTTACCTTGCTGCGTCCCAAACACAGGAAGTGGAGAAACCACCAACTTATAAATAGCAATTAGCACACCTACTACAGAAACTATTGAACTGTGCTACTTTTCTAGGGCCAAATTATCAGTTATTTGAGCTTAGATTTTGAGACGATATTGTTATGAAAGCAGGTAGTTGGTACTTATTTTTAATTTATTAGGTCAGTATTGGAAGAACACAGACTTTAAATTATCAAGAAATTGTGTTTCCCAAAATGGCTATGGACTACGATAAACATCAAAAGAAGTATTAATAGATTTTTACCCGTCTTCCATGAACTTTTTACGGGACTTCTTATTTTAGACTAATCCTTTGTCATGTTAGGGAACAGAAGGCATACTTTGTCAATCAACAGCGAAAGTTTCAAACTCGCCTTTACAATGAAATTGACGTTGTTATAATACACTTTTTTGATACTTATCGAAGCCAATATCCAAATTAAAGCCATGGGCAAAATTAATTGAACAATTTATGATTGAATTTTTACTACATAGAGACTAACCTATAGATATAATGGTGTAGTGATTTGGAAATATTTTTAACGTTGGAATAAATTTATTATATTAATTGATTGTTTTATTTTCGTTTTATATTATTAAGGCCTTTAACACCGCACTAAACGTTGTTTGTAAAGAATTTCTAATTGCGTGGTTAATCAGGTATCTTTTATGAGCGGTAATGTGAGCATTATGTATTCCGGTTTTGAAGAACAAGGGTGCTAGTGAAATTACAGGCACCAGGGTGACAGTGCGGTGGCAGTGCGCCTCTGATCTTTGCCATTGAAAGCTCTGAGTGGCACTGCATATAGATAGATGGATAGACCAAACGCACGATTTGTTCGTATCGTAAAAAATAATATTTTGGGTATATATGTATATGTATACTAATATTATGTAGGTATGCTATTATTTATTTAACAAACACAGTTTCAGTGTAAAATATATTATTTATTTTTTTCATAAAACATGACAAAGCAATAAATATTTTTAAATATACAAAAATATACAAATGAAGGAAACAACATTGAATATTGGACATGCAACGCTACTGAATATGGGGGCAAGAAGTTTTGATAAATATTGATTTTATTAATAAATCGCACCCCTCATGAAAGAATGGTTTAAGTGAAGTTACGTCAAAAATATTTATTGCTCCATTAGATACCGAAAAATATAAACCACATCCTCTCCAATTCTTGTAACTCTATCTACAATATTAGTCGAATTACAAGATTTAGATAAGATGTGTGTTATATTTTTTTGTATCTAATTCAGCAATAAACGTTTTTGACGTAACTCCACTTTTTATATTTTTTTATAAGATATAAGTGCGCATTTGATCTCCATCTCACCTGATTGAAAGTGACGATGAAGTCGACGATGGAGCATGATGCACACCTAAATAATGCATATTCACTCTCGCCTTGAAAAGGCCCAAGTTATAACGTTCAGGAAACAAGTCTGCATGCAGGGAATTCCACTCTATAGCCGTTCGCCATATAAATGTGGAAGCGTAACGCTTAGTGCGAATCTTTGGAATATGCACAACATAGGGGTGGAACCCAAGCCTACGCCTAGTCCCCTGGTGATGGAAAGGGGAAGGCGGAATTACATCGTGTAATTCCATCTTCTTATGCCATTCTTCCATGAGGGGTGTGAAATAAGAAATATCACTTATGTTCGCTTACACTAAACTTAAGTAGGTTTTAACCCGTTCATGGGCAGTACTTAAATAATACCGTAAAAACGTCACTACATTTCTCAGTGCCGTAGTGCTTATATTGATTCAATATAAAATGTTCAATGTAAATCATTGGATTTTGTCAGTACGTTGTTGGTAGTTCTCTATGGAGAAGCAGTAGGCGGCAACTATAAAGATAGCACTTGGATGTTCCATTTAGCGAAATGTGATAGCCCGTACCTACTATCATTATTCAGATATTTAATTTTAAGGTAAACGCCGTCGCAGTCCATGAACGTGTTAAACCACTGCTTAAATGGATAAGACACTCTTAACACAATGTATTAAGACTGTCTTTTGCATTACAAGCATTGGTTTAATATATTACTTAAGTTTAGTGCAACTGGACATTATTACATTTGCTAAAGGTACTTTATCTATATTACTCAAACAATAAAATTTATTTCCTATACCTACATGACATCATAACACAAACAAATAAAATGCATTATCTATTGATTTTTGCAGTTGTAATTAATTAATGTGTAATAATAGGTATGATGAAATAACATAAAATTATTGTAATTTTTTAATACTTTATATGATTCGCTATATAAATATGAAATCAAAACTTTCTTTTGTAAATGAAATTATTTTTTCGGATCTAAGGGCGCCTTCAAATTAGACCTTTATAGAAGCGCTACATTGTGGCACTACACGCTCGCCATTACTAATTTTCATACAAAAGTTCGAAGTGCTGTTGCAGCGCCACTAAATCCGAAAAAATAGTTTCTAAATGAAACTATTTTTTCGAATATAAAGGCCCCTTCATATTGGACGCTTATAGAAGCGTTACAGTGGCGCCACAATTAATTTTCATACAATATTTTTGAAGTGCACTTTTGCAGTCACGATTAGTGAACTAAAAATCACTGAAGCGCTACAAATGCACTGCTGCTGCGCCATAGTTCAACAAGCACTTCATTTAAAGGCGCCCGTAACCAGCCGGCCGTGACCATGGAACCAGTAATGGGCCCGAAACGTTGGTTTTGTTTGAAAAAACAAATATACGTGTTTTAGATCCGAAAAAATAGTTTCATTGCCAATGTATAACAATCACGAAAACCTAAAAACTCGATACTTTCTGACGTAGCACATTAATACAAAACTATACCAGATTAGGTACAGATTTATTCCCACCTTGCTTGCCGCTCCTTTACACTATTTCTAAAAGTTGGTAGGTAGTAGGAAACTAATTTTATTTCTGCATGGTGTTGGTAGCAGACTGCAAACTTTTTTACATTTATGTAAAAAACTACAATGTATTTTTTTCATTTTCTCACTACTTTACATTGAAACCTTCACTGTTTTCCATACTAAAAGATCCCTTTACAGATAATACAGTAAACATTATGTATGCCAACTTTATCCAAACGTTTTTTCAAGGTATGTATAGCTGCTGGGGTAGAGTGGTTCACTTTTTTCTATTTATATGTGGTATCAATAAGAAATACCCGACACTCACGCAGGGGGTGTGAGTGTTTAGGCTATATAATGAAACATGGCCATGTCTCAAGATTTTTTAATGAATTTTTATAAATTAATGCCAGTAACTTAAAAAGTATTACGCAAAAACCTATCTACCAATCCTGCCCTCCTCCTTGTCATCATAATTAACGCATTCACATTTTGGTTTTCGAGATATTGGCACCGAAAATTTTTTATCTTTTTCTTTGAAAAATGTCTATTACGCTGACTATACTTAGGAGTGTATACAACCTCAAATGACTTTGGTTGATTCCGCATACAATGAAAGTGTTGAATCAGTCTCTTTGGAAAAAATATATAGTAAAATTGAGGACACAGACTGATTAGTACACGGTGTGAAAACGCGATCCTAAAAATTTTCTCGTACATGTACCAATGTATTTTATATGTGAACTGAACTATATAGAACACGTATAGTATACGATATACATATTTCAAATGGCTTTAATTTCGTTTGTAAAAAATGAATTTTGAAATAAAACCAGTGTCCCTGCCGCTCGACCCAAGCAAAATGAACCGTATTAGTTTTAATACGGTAATTTTAATTCTAGCTGAGGTAGTATTGACTTTTAACAATAAAACTAAGTAAGATATTAAAAAAACCGCTTATAGAGGATTGTAGATCTCGTTTCGCTGATGCCAGATTTGTTAATAACTCTATTTCGCTAAAAATGTCGATAGTTATGATGATAAAGAAGGCAGAAGTATAATCTTTGAATTTACAACTTGCCTCGTTCTGTATCACATTAATCACATATAAAAAACGTAATATAAATAATCACAACGTTAAACGAGGTATATTATAACCAGGACTATGATAGCGAGTGTAACGAACATGCCCCCAAATAACACATACTTGTCCTGGGACACTCGCCGCTCTATAAGAGAAATCGTCGCGTTTGATAGGCCCAGTGTGTTTGCTAAGTCGATCAGTCTTCGGTGAGCACCTTTTATTGTCTCCCTGTTGTATTTTAACGTATCTAAGATGTTTGCACCTGCGAATAAAATAATTTGGAAGGTCAATTACATGTCTGTTAATCCATATAATAATAAATACGCGTTATGTTAAGTAAAAGTACAAGTGTAAAGCGTCAGGCATTTGTCACATTGACAACCTTCCCATAACATCCCTTGCGGTGTTTTGCTTCACCATTTTTTTATTTATTATAATAATAATAATAATAATAACGATTAACCGCCTCTACCATTTCAAAATTCAAATTTAATGTTTTTGACCATTGGAGAAGCGAGTCCAAAATAGATATCCATAATAATAATAATAATAATAATACTTTTTTTCGGACAAAAAACTACAAATTATACACAGATTATTTATGACTTTATTTTTATTAGTAAAAGAACTTGGAAACAAGGTCAGTAATTCAAAACTATAAAATCATAAAATCAAAATTGAATATAATCAAAAACAAAATTAAGACTACGAAATTACAAAATTCAAATTATAATCAAAATAAGAAAAATTGCAAAAATAAATCAAAAATTATATGAGCAAATTGAGCTACGCTCTTTGTTTGCTCTATCTCTTGCATTTCAATATTGGACAGTCGCATATTCCAGCAATCGTATTTAGGATTCTGTTGGGACTTTGACTCGACGGCACATCGATGGTGTCGGTAGTCTACTAATATTATATATGTATATTAAAGCTACAAATCCTGACTCACTTAGAAAAACAGAAGGCATACTTCCCGATATGGTGGAAAAAATATATTTATACCGATGTACGCGGATAGGCTCCAAGGCAAATAATCAAATATGAGAAGACCTGAATGTGGAAAATGTAAACGAGTGATCAACGGCCTGCAAAAACTATAATACATGGCGGGGATTTTTGTGCATTTTTATGAGATACACCCTAGTCAATTTCCGCGGGAAATAAAAAGTGTTCGAAATTCAAATAAACAAGATGGCCGCCATACAAATTTCAAAGCCTCCTATCACGGAAACTATTAGAGATTGGTAGGAGGCGCTCGAAGGAATGTCATAGAAGGCAATACTGGTCAACTGCATGGGTTAAAAAAAATTCAAGATGGCGATTTCAAAATGGAGGCCGAAGAAAAACTTGCTTCGATCCGGCTGAAAATTGGCATGCGGGTCTCTAGGAGTTCTTAATCATAATTTGGGGTTAAAAATTTCTTTCCGCCATTTTTTTGTGAAAAATAGTTGCCGAAAGAGATTTGCTCTGATTCGACTGAAAATTGGCATGTGAAGGCCACTAGAAATAATTTGTGCTCAAAATTTGTTTTTCGCCATTTTCAAATATAGCCGTCATAGAAGCGTTCGTTGGCGGCAGAAAAAAATTGCTCAGATCCCTTTGAAAATTGGCATATAGGGGTCTCTAGAAGAGCTTGATAATAATTTGTGATCAAAATTGGTTTTTCGCCATTTTTCATTATGGCTGCCATAGAAGTGTTTTTTGGCGGCAGATGAAAATTTGCTCTAATTCGAAAATCGGCATGGAGGGGAGTCTATGGGTGTTTAATAATAATTTACGGTCAAAATTTATTTTTCGCCATTTTTTAATATGGCTGCCATACAAACTTTTTGGCGGCAGATGGAAATTTGCTCTAATTCAGCTGAAAATCGTCATGTGGGGATCTCCATGGGTGTTTAATAATAATTTGCAATAAAAATTTACTTTTTACTCTTTTTTTGAGTGTAGCGGAGGGCGAAACCCGAAGCGTCCGCACGCCACCTTAGGTAGGTAGTATATGGAGACTCTATTACGGTACAAGCTTTCACAATTGTTCAAAATGTAAGGCATACTTCCCGATGTAGTGGAAATAAGATACTTGTAGCGTTGTTGTACCTCGACCGTCTTTCTGTTAGATTCTTTTTTCTTGGAAGCTATGCCAAAAAGAGAAGATTAAGGAAAAAATGCCAAACAATCACTCCAAATTTCTGATTTCAAAGTAGTACAGGAAATTCCCCTGTACTATGAGTACCAGAGTAACGATAATTCTGAGGGCAATACCCAGAATACCCTGACCAGATCCAATTTAAAAATATTTTTTGGTTCAAATCAGGGATCGAATCTGGAACTCCTCATCAAGCGCCCATAGTACTTAATCACTGTGCCAGCGAAGAGCATAACCACACCCCGTCATCTGAAACCGACCATGCGCCGCAGGCCGAGGCCGACCCCACCGTAGGTGGGGTATAAGGCTCATTGCCTATATGTGTATACAGGGTGTCCCGGGACGCGACGTCAAGCCGGAACGGGGTGATACTTTTGCAAACTGTTACATCAAATTCGTTATTTAAAAAAAATCAAATAAATATTTCTATGTCCTTGCTGGCGACGCCGACGACGGTTAATTTTCTACTTCTACTAAATGTTACGGCCCCATCAAAATAATCGACGATTTCGCCAATGTCAAGAAAAAATTAATATGTACGGTTGGTTTGTATAAATAATATAAAAATTATGGCAGATGACGCAATTAGCAAGGCCGGTACCTCTCACACTTCTTATTGCCATGGACTGTGTCTAACCATAGACTTTGCTTATAATCTACCGTCTGTTATCATCTTTTGGTATTATAGTTTAGTTGGTCATAGCCAATACCGCCAAAACTATTTCTCGGTGATGTTTGGGGGGAAGAATTTATATAAATATGCGCGGAATCGATAGTATCGGTTTGTATTGTCGGTACTTGATGGTTGAGACTCAACTGCCATTGCAAGTAGGTTTTCGCAGAATAACCAACTTCATAATTGCAATATAATCTCAGTGGAGTCTCAATGGAATTACAATGACCAGAGGTTTCAAGAAAGTTAGATGCCCTGGAGTCCTGCTTGGGAGTCCCGTAAGTATTCTCACTTTTGAACTACATTTTGAACTGCACCTTAGTTCATAATGCTGGCAGGTAGGTCTAGATTAATTTATACCAGCCCCCGTAGTATGGCTACGCATGATAGTCGCGACACGCGCGATAAAATTGTAATAAGCGCGCGCTATTGGCTGTCTCAATCAGAACTAATTTAGATGGCCAATAGCGCGCGCTTATTTCAATTTTATCGCGCGCATCGCGACAAATTATGCGTAGCCATGCTACGGAGGCTGGAATGTATGAATGTAAATGCACGAAGATTTTAATATAGTTATTACTTCGTATTTGACACAGCGCCTAATGTTAAACACCTAGCAATACTTATTTGCAATATATATCATGAAAGGTCATTTATAATGTAGATGCTATTAAGACTAGCGTAGGTCTAAGGTTATAAGGACCAGTTCTCAAGTCTCTTAGGACATGTAGCCCCTGACCTGCCATAGAACGTACTTAATCTATTATATTATGTTATACATTACAAGTTGCACTTGTTTGAATTACACCTCTACAAAGTTCCTGGGTAATTAAATAAAAAAATAAATTTCATTGTTTTTAGTTATTTTTTGAAATTCTTATTATGGTATAAAAAAGTGGTGAAATTGTAACTAAAGATTTCGATAAAAAACCGAACATTTACTTACTTTCTTATCTTTATTCCGAGTCTAAATTTTTATTTAATAAAAATTGTGAAAAAAAATAAATAACAAAAATACCGTAAATGTAATTTAGTACGAAACAATCAAACAATGTGACGTATAACTAGTGATTACCATAACGAGTTTTCGATGCTTGCGACATTCGCCGCCAATAATCAACGGTCAAGGTTTCCATCCAGGAAGATACCAAAAGAAATCACTCAAGTTGTATTGTTATACGTGTTATTGTTTTTTTTCTATAATACTTCCATGTCACATCTTAGTATATTTTTTTCGTAAAGGACAGTGAGACAATAGCATCTGTATTTAACGACAAAGAGTCCAATTATCTCTAGAGTGTTGAGAACCGGATGGCGTTAATACCATACCAGTCGTTTCATGATACGCTCTTTTAAATAAATTAGTTTCGTATTCTTCCTACCCCGACAGATACGACTTGAGTGACTTACGCGTAATGTTAAATCACAAATGCAGTGTACAGAAAAAAATAGAAACAAAACAAGTTTGGTTTTAATTTTCTAATTCATATTGCGTACCTTACTCAGAGAATATGTTTTAGGATTATTGTGCACTTGAAGACTAGCACCGAACGAAAAATGTGGTATGTACTTTTGTTTTTATTTATAAACTGTTTAATAATTTAGATTTATTGTTTAATATGTATTTTGGGATTTTATGTATTGTTCGATGAAGATCGATCGCGAATTTTGTAGTAGACGGGTGACGACAGCGACGCACAGCGAGCAACTAGAGAATTACGTCAGTAGAGGTCAAACAAATGCAAAAGTGGTTTTCGTTTTTCTTTCCACCAATACCTGTATTAATTTATAACATTTACGAGATTAGATCGCTGCGACATAATATGGTATAATATTTTGTCGCATATGTATTTTAAGAACACTTAATACCTATATTTTTTATTCATTATAAAACAAGAACAATTAGGTAGAAAAATTGTGGCCTGGTTGCGTTTTGCCTTTTTTTGTTGTTTGTTTGTCTAGGTCCTATTTTTTTTTTATTGTTTCTATGATCATGCTGCACACGGGTCGAAATTTAAATATAGGATCTGATGGCACTTAGATAAATTTAAATATGTAGTGGGTAACATCTACATGTTGCTGAAAACAATTAATTGACTAAATTAATCTATTCTAGCACACTTTTTAATTAATATGTGTGTGGGTATGTCACAGGAGAAACATAAGTAATATCGAAGACTTAATAAAGAAACAACAATTAATATAAAAAAATATAATAATATAATATTCATCCAACAAAAAGACCAAATTTATTTAAAATAATATCTATTATTTTTTAAATCTGAATAAGACTAGATAGACATCTAGTATAATAATGAGATAAGGTTCATGGCTAGTGCGTCAAAGTCCGTCCACATCATATTCACTTTGTGATAAGAAGATTGCCCAGCGGTCAAATTAGGCGACCACAAGTTCCCCATAGCAACTCTCTCAGGTACCTAGCAATGCAATGCACTTGGATCGTAGGCTGATCTGGCGTTCATGTTTTTACTTTTATAGAGTATAAATATGCAATTAAATCAGAATTAAAATAATAAATAAATGTTTTTGGTAAAATTTTATGACACCATAATTACGATCTCCAGTCAAAATATGCGTGCAACTTAATTTTATAATTATTAATTTATAATTTTACATTTTATAAAACCAATATAAAATATGATTATTCCATAAGGTTTTTCAAAAAATTCGCACAAACCTGTGTGCAGCATTTCATCAACGTTCCGATGTGAGTTTTGCAAAGACAACTGTTCCTGCCCCAAATAGTCAACTGTGATCGACGTGTGATCACTGCCTGGACCAAATCGCCTGCTCAATAGCTGCTCTCGTTCTTTACGTTCTTGTTCCCTACGCAATCTCTTATTCTGTGCGCTGTTAAGTGATGCCTGGGAAATAAATAATAAAACAATTATTTTTATTACATTCTGTTAAGCACATGTCCAAGTCCAAAGCTGACACTAGAATCTGCCATGAAGTGAACAATACCTATGCTTCTCCTAAGCCAAAATTGCACTCTAATATACCCACTAAACTTCCTCCTGAGCGAACATATGCCCCAAGCAGTGTAACTAGAATTATTTTATTTTTATTTATTTGTTATGTAATTAGCGTAATACGTAGATCATTTGCTGGTTGCAGTGTCGAAAGGCTGCACAGGCTTAAATAAGCCGTTATAATTTAAAGCTCGTATCGAGTTCTTAGTTGTTACAGGTCCCATGGTCATGGTCGCCCATAACCATGGGGCCTGTAAAGAGCCTGTAATGTTGATTTGTTTGAGAACACAAATATACGCGGTTTAAATCCGGAAAAATAGTTTCAATTCCTATATAATAAATTAATACTTTATAAGATAATAATCCAATATTAAATTCCAGTTTTGTCATTATTTGGTAATAAATCATTTGACAATTTATTGGATATGATATTATACTACAACTTTTTACACACAGAACATATTAACGCAGTCACTTAAACATGGATAATAAAGAGGTTCTACACATACTAGCCTCAGTTACTCAAACATCAAAGATTATAGAGAACTGTGTGACTACATTTAAGATAGCCACACAATTCTCTATAATCTATCTTTATCTCTTGGGATCAGGCAAAAACGAGGAGCTGGGCTGGAACCTAAGCCACTTCGACATTGAGGACAATGAGGCAATGCAATGACAAAAGCTTGTGCTAGAGAGGCCTTTATTGGTACCAAGCCTTTCACACAGATTCAACTTCACTTGGGATGTCTGACTGCAAAACATGCTCTTGAACATTCTCAAACTCTGATTAACAGCGACAATGTCAAATACTGTAAAGAAGCTCTGGCACTGGGTAGGAATGGCATTAGAATGCTGACCAAAGTCTAACGAGATATTATAATACATACACAAAACATAGTGCTGCACTAGGGAAACGTCCCAGGTGCCATGGACGCACACATAAACAACATTACACCCAAACTCACAAAAGAAACAAATGTAGGCCATACAAATATTTCTCCCAGTTCAATAAATTGCTGTTCGTAATGATGATGTATGAAGGCACCCTAATAATAATGATGACAATAATTATACTCATTACAACATATTATCATTTGCCAGATTGTCTTGTCATTATTTCTTTAAACTGCTTTATCACATGTTATAATCAGTTTTATTACTGTTAAGTATTTGTGCTCAAAACAACAAGTTTTTTGCATTTAATAGTGCGATGAACACAAAAAATGTATTGTATAATTTAATGATAGATTTTGTTGTTATATCAAAAGCAATGTGAAACATATTCTTGTATACAATTTAGTATTTTCAAAATTGGTTTCAAATTATATATTATGTGCTTCTGGAAAAGTACTGGATATACAAGTATCGAAACTGTATTTCTTAATACACACATACACTGCATGTCCTTTTCTCATCAGGGTAGAGACCACAGCGTTCTACTTACTCAATATTCTTAAATAATAATAATGATAATGTGCACACACTCATAGCCCCGCACTAGGGATACCCTGTATCACGGGTACCATGGACATACACATAGACAACCACAACTTACACCCAAACTCACACTCAATAAATGTAAGCCATACAAATATTTATCTCGGCCTAGGAATCAAACCCGGGACCTGTGGCAGTCCAGCATGGTAACTGTTCATACACAGAGGCAGTTTAAATTTAAATAACAATCTTTTTCCAGTTCTTTAGGTTAATCTTTTTAATGCATAATATAAGCATCTCACCTGTATATGCTTATTGTCATATTTGAGCTGTTCGACCCTCATCTTTGCCATGGGTCTCTGATTAATAGGGGTCTTGAACACAAATATGTCCAACTTCTCGCAGTTCCTACAAAACAATTTATTTATTATACACCTGTAATAATGCAGCAAAACAGTAAACCCGAATGAACATATGTCTGAACATCCAATATTATCGGCAATGAAATTTTTTTCTTTTGTTATTTTAAATTATACTATTAAATATTTTTTGAAATATTTAATGAAACATAAAGATAAACAATAAAAGGTAATTAATTGCAAATATACTTACGCACTAATAGCATTAATCTTGGACTGAATAATATTCTCAATTTCTTCATTGTTTTGAGTATCCTTTTCAAGCTTAGTAAACAAGTCGGAAGTTTCCTGTATCAACTGATTAGTCTGATGATATAACGCCTCCATCGTTTGTTCTTCAATTGTCTACGGTTCAGTTATTGCTAATTAACCAACATATTTTAAGAAACAAAACGCCGATAAAATAAAATTGAAAAATCGTGAAACACGAAATCACAGGAGGTTCGAATGTGTAAATAGTCCAACTCGCTTGGCGTGACTGACGCAGAGAAGAACATTTCATTATTTTAATCAATACATTATTGAAAATATACTTCACATTCAGTACTTTCATCGTTTTATTTGTTTTGAAATACATTTGCGTGATTTAAGTTAAGTTAAATATATTTTATTCACATAAAACCTTGTCATATAGACCGAACAATAACTGCAATAACACGATTCGGACAAGACGTATTTGTTGTCGTGTATATGTCACATTGACGTTATTACTTTTAAATTGCTGTATCTTCATCACCTGTTACTGAAAACATGTTACTTTTTACTACTAATTTTATTTTAATTAACAAGTTTGGACGTTTTTATTTTCTGTCCTCTTTTTGCTTACTGGTGGTATCCTGTTTAGAAATTTCGCTTGTAACAAAAATTATGGCGAACCCGGCAAACGCACATGGGCCCATTGATAATTCTTGGACATAGGAATAACTTGTGGAGTAGCGAGGTATTTTTTTATATGATAGGTAATAACATTCCTAACAACTTTTATTTTTGTTGTGTTAAAAAATAAATAACAAATCTAAAATTTTGACACCATTTTACTCGTAAAGCCGCAAATACCTGCAGATAGATTATTTTTCTTGATAGAGAATGATTGGACCTATATTGTAAATAAACCACACACATTACATTTTCCTACATTAAGAGATAAAAAATAAAATGTTTATTACTCCAAACAAAAAAAACAATTTTTTTTTTCTCTGAAACAATCAGCTTTTCAAGAAATGACACAAGAATAAAAGTTATCAGGAATGTTATTATTTATCATATGATAGAAATCAGCTCTGTATTTTTAAAACTGTTCCCATGATTAAATAATAATTGATAACTCTTGGACATAGGAATAACTTGTGGAGTACCGAGCTAATTTTTTTATGTGATAGATAATAACATTTCTAAGAACTTTTATTCTTGTATAATTTCTTGAAAAGTTGATAGTTTCAGAGATAAAAATAATAATTTTTTTGTATGGAGAAATGTACATTTTATTTTTTATCTCTTAATGTAGGAAAATGTAATGTGTGTAGTTTATTTACAGCATAGGTCCAATCATTCTCTATCAAGAAAATAATAATCCATCTGCAGATACTTGCGGCTTTATGAGTAAAATGGTGTCAAAATTTTAAAAAATTTGCTCGATACTCCATAAGTTATTCGTATGTCCAAGAATTATCAATTTGGGCCCACTGTGCAACGTCAAGATTTATTTTATTTGTTTCATCTGAAATAAGAAGCTATTAAAACGTTTCTTATATTTTAACAATACTAACATTTCACGATAAGTATTTATGTGAATTAAGTTTCAAATATTTATAGTTGTCCCGTTAAAATATTTACCACTACATATAATATACCTAGTATTTAACGGTCTGTGACTGAATAGAAAAACGATTAACCGCATATCCCTAGTTTAAAAAAGAAAAAATTGACTCATGCATCGACTCTCCTTTCCCTTTGTGATTAAATTTTATTTACGAAAATTTGACAATATTTCCTGATATTGTGAAGTGTTTTGTGTGACAAAGTGGCAGTGAAATAAAAATGGAAGACGGATGTCAAAGATGCTTCACAAGGGTGCCTTATGCGACCCTGATAGCGACCATAATGTGTTGTTTGGGCGTGGGGGTATTCTGTGGGACAATGTACCGAGGCTCAACGTTGTCCATACTAATGTTTGATGAAGTATTCCACTTCCGTCTCATATGGATAGAAGCTCTACAAATCATTTTTATAGTAGGCGGCGCGTGTATGGCGGCGTTGGGCTTCATGTTATTATGTTTGGGCTGCTTGACAACAGGTGCAACCAGGCAAAGAGTTTATCGAGCATGGCGAGCTAGAGTCGGCGGGCGAATATCCTGCGCCGTTTTCATGATCATAACTTACATCCTCACTGTCACATGGGTCCTCCTACTTTGCTTCTTAGTCATCACTACGTTTTTATTCACGATATTCTGGAAACTTTGCTCGAAACCGAAAAACATCGACCTATCAACCTGTATCGATTTTACGCAATTCGACTTCATGTTTCCGTCCACGGTTAAGCAAGAGGACATGAGAATTTGCGAAGCTCATAAAATGAAATTGTTCTGCAAAGATTATGTAGAGAAAGCAGAGTTTATGTTCATTTTAGCAATGGTCTCATGCATACTGGTTATCCTGAGTTTAGTGCATTACCTTATGTGTTTGTCGGCTAATTACGCACATATTAGAGACCATGACAAGTTCCAAGAACTGCAAGAGCTTCAATACCTGACCAACCCTAATTTGCATGCGTCCAAGGATAGATTCTAGTATATGGCCCGCGCACCTCTACTGCGCTCCCTAGAGGCTTCCACGAAGATGTGACACAATTTATAAGTAAATGCACTTGCATGATGGAACTAACATTTAAAAAAAAATTAAGTGTTCACTGCCCAATTTTAGATTAAAAAGACTGAACACAGTGAATAAAGACTATGATAATTTACCTAATTCAATGTTTACGTAGAAATATCCTTTACATATCTAATTTTTGCCTCAATTTTCCATGATGTTTAAAGATTTTTAATGCTTCAGTGTATTTTATAACTGAATATTCTGATGAGACATTTACTTAATGTAGATTATAACTAAAAATGTTGGTAGCTTGCTCATTCTAATGCCACCTTTTAATATTTAATAGTAAGATTCACTGAAATTACTTTAAAGATTCCTATTAAATAAATGTCTCAATAGAGTCATTAAAAGGTCCACTATCATTGACAAGAACTAACATTCCTTCCTAATGTACCTAATTTTTATTATACCCTAGTTTAATATGGTATTACAGACTTACTGATTGGATTACTGCAACACAAGTAGTGATAGTTGGCCAAATTAAATTTAAATGTTAATGATATTCTTCTTTTAAATGTTATGACCCCATTGAAATAATCGATGATTTCACCAATGTCTAGTAAAAATTACTATGTATGGTAGTTTTGTAAAAATAATATAAAAATTATGGTGGACCCAAAAACTCCCGTTAATGATATAAATATTTGCATTGTTAAAAAATTGTATGTGACTATTAGTCATTCTATACTTGATGAACAATGCTTATACATCGCTTTATCAATCTGCCATCCTTTCATGAGACAAACAGAAACGAACTGGCTTACACAGTTACAGTACAACGATCATCTATCAGTGCTCTTTGTATTATCTAATATCTATTATTGTGTTAATTCTAGACTTAGTTTTAAGGTGCTTAATATTGTTTTTTATTTTATTGGCACTTATAGTTAATTTCGGTCTGTTTATTGAGTCTGTGTACTAGTTTATTGTTTTTCTAAGTAATGTATATCTACCAAATGAAATTAACTTTTAGGTAATCAATTAAATTGATTGATTATGACATGTAAATGTCAAAATCAAATGGAGGTTCAAAATTGAGTACAACTCTAAATTTGATTACTAATAAATAGATGCAACTTTTTAATTAGGAACAGAATAAGTGACAATAAAGTCACTTATTCAGCAATTAGAGACTGAACTATTTTGCAGCTGACTTGTTTCTTAACTTTATGCAACAATTTATCAGAGAGGATGCCATACAAATGAAAACTGTGATGAAACCATGTTGTGACACCAATTTTTGACTAGTGAAAATTGTACACTTCTCTTTGTCAACTCTGCTTTTTGTACTATTGTCACAGCCTGCTTTTTTAGCACAATGTAAATAGCCTATATAAAGATTTATAATCACTTTATACATACACTTTATACATTTACAATACATAGAATATTTAAGACAAAAATACATGAAGTGACAAGACTTCTTTACAAAACATTCTGACCTTCTAAGTTTTGTACATAATGACGCTTTTAATGGAAATTTTAGTGATGATTATAGGAAACTTCAAATCAAATGAGATGGTGACCAAGCATTCATCTATTTTACATTAAAAAACGAAGCCTACATTTGTTAGTTTCCAAATAGTCACCAAGCAAACAACACTGCTCAAGTTATTTTCAAGTAAATTTGAAGGAAAGTGGAAAACCTGAATATATTACAGCATACATAAGTTTTTTTATATTATTGTTAGTAATATTTGCTATATTTATGGTTAATATTCTGTTAGTTATATTGTTTTGTTGACATTCTTGTTTATTTTGACTTCAATGTTTAAAAGTAAAATATACAATGTTTAAAAGTAATTTTCACTTGAATAGTGTTGTTTGGTACATGACATAATGCCAAGACACACTTTAATTGGAGTATATTTGTGTGTGTTGTAGATATAGATGTAGTTATTGTGACTTCGTCATTACTGTGTACGCCCAGTCCTTGTTCAATTTCAGTAAGTTAGATTATAAGTAAATAAATTTGCTTTTACCGTTAAAACATTTTTGTTATTCACAAAGTGATTTCTAATATATATTTTTAATACCCATTGCACAATACACGAGATCAAGCTAATTTTGTAATGAGATGGATTATAGTTATGATAAGACAATAAAATAGGTTGTTTAAAATGATTTTAAACATTTGTAATCAGTTTAATGTCATACAGTAGTTATTAGAATGTATCCACCTATTATACCTTAATTTTTTGTATTAGTTAGTATAAATGTTTTATAAGTTAGTAAATGTTCGATTGTAAATGCATTTTCTTTTTATTTAAGTCGACTACTTGTGATTTAAATAAGCTATAACTCCGAAAATATTTAAGGCGTCAGTACAATCCCATATATTCTACTTAAGTTTTGTATAAAGTGTCCCTCCCTATCATCCTTTATACGAGACGGAATCTATTACCTGTTCAAGCAAGCCGGGCACCTAATCCTAGATCAGGCCGTTGAAACAGGCTTCATCCAGTTTTCAAAAGGCCTTGGATGAGCGCCTCCGGGTGCACGTATAACACCCTCCGTGTCCAGACAGGTGCCGCAGCTGTCGGCACTCTCACCACCCGACGCCGAAGCGTCTCTCCAATTCCAAAATTGCTAAGCGGCTGGAGGGGCAGGAGGTTATCTAGCTAGATGGGTATCAGTACAAGCTCCCATTTCTTTCTACGTTAGTTTTGATTATAGTGACCCTTCCTACCTACCCTTACGAGAAGGGCACTATAACCTGTGCGCGCACAACAACCTTATAAGTTCAGGTTCTGACCCCGGATCAGCCAGTGTACAGGGTTGTCACAGACCTCTGTCACTTGACTTCATCCGGTGTTTCGAGAGGCTAATGCCTCTGGTGAGCCGCCCCGGGTGCACGTACAGTACCCTCCCTATTTTCCAGATAGGTATCGGAGCTGTAGGCACGCACACTTCTCGTTGCGCATTGCACAACTAGCGGTTGCCACCACTAAGCCGTTGACTCTGAGTCCACTACCAAATCTCCTCATTGGTGGCGGTGCTGTAAGGCACGCTCACTTTCCAACGCCGAAAAACGACGTCTCTCCAGTTCCTAATAACCTACGAACTAGATACGAGCCAAAAATCACGTCACTTCTTTACGCGTCTTCTACTACAGCCTCAAGGCTCGAACTCTAGAATGCTCGAGGATTCGCGGGACTGCTCGAGTACTCCAGCTAACGCGCGCACCATCTCGCGCAGCGAGGCGAAATTGACGTTTCCTTCCATCCCGTTCCTCCGCAATGTAAATTAAGCCTACCGGAAGTCCGAGGCTCTATCCGGAACTCCCAAACCATAACCAGTTTAGAAAGTGCATCTCCGAAATTGGTCCACCATGAATCCATGAGATGGATCTCTAGCGCCTCATCTAGCGCCCATTGTACAAATCGTTGGGCTACCGAGATCGTCAATTATTCCAGTTACATTTAACAAAAATCAATCCTATAATGGTTGCCTTAGATATCAACCAGCTTTTGCGAAGAACATGAGATATTATAACATAATGTCATTTTACAATACTAAAACACGTAAAATACCTACAGTTTCAACTAGGAGAGAACCTTCCAAGAACCGAAGAAAATATTTGAAAAGCACCGACCGACATTTACAGTGGACGCATGCTCTTATTTAACCCGACACTCTTTCATAACCACGAATTCACTCCAATTATGACTCAATTGACATGGTGACATGATCCTTAAATGCAGTCTCTTACCATAGTTTCTTTTTTCACTTTTTTATGTAACATTTAAAGTTCAATTTATGTTCAAGAGCAATTAATTTTGAAAATATTATCAATTTTATTTTATATCGAAAATGACATGCACAAAGTAAGGCTACTTGACGTCATGCACAGTCGCAGAGAGCGTGCACTTAATTTTGCGGGCAGGCCTTTCATAGGCTGACGTCATATGAATTAAGCCCACCAACAACTAATATTAACAGAAAATAATAATAAAAATACGTTACTAAATCAAAAATAAGTAATAAACAGAAAAAAACTTAATTACTCAATATTTACAATTATAAAGGTCATAAAGGCAGTCAGTCCACGATGTCACCTATGATCGTCACGTTGTTTACTTTCCTTGGACAAATCCTTAATGAGTCACATCTATAATAATATTCTCGAGAAATAACACCGACATTTGATACTGGAACTGATTAACTGCCTATCTCTACAATAGTCTACTAATTATTTTTAATATGTAGGTAAGATAAAGGTTACATCTACCGTGTCGTGTAAAACTACCTACCTACTTATATTTATCAAAGTGCTCATGTACCTATGAATTAGAACTGTTTACCATGCACAGCAAGGGCAATAGGTACACGCAAACTATGTAATTTAATCTCTACACTTGAAGCAGTGACACTGCACTGAATCTTAATCAGAGTTTGAGGAAATATTATTCATGGACCTGTGATAAATACCCATTAACCTGAAAAGGACACGAGAAGGATATTTATAACAGAAGTTGTATCGGAAAAGGCGCTTTTGTGGGTAATATACGTGTTTCGCATATGATGTGGCGGACCGCGGCCCTGAGCGAAATGAAGGTCCTGTCGACAAACCGGCTGCCCCCACTTAGGCGCTTGACTTCTACGTAGGCCGTGCCAATGACCTTTCGACATTTCCCGTATCTTTAAAAACAAACCAAAAACTATAACAACTTTTTGAAATATTCTGTGTTTATGCAAATTAACATTGAACAAAGTGACTTCTAGTGAGGATCGGTAGAGAATAGAACACATTTTTTCCCCCGAAATGAATAACCTGAAGTAACTATGAATAGAATTCGCTTTTTGTAGTTGTTTGAGTGCTTTGAATCACTGGGTTCTTTCTTTTGTTAGTTAAGTAAATTTCATTTCTTAGAAACCTAAAAGGTAAATTAGCCTGATGGTACTCATTTAGTGATTCTTGTATTATTTATTTAGGTTCCTGTTCTTGCAAAACTTTAAGCCAACATAATCATGTTTCTAAATAAATAACAATACAATCTCGCTTCTGGTCAGGAAAAGTGTTAGAATAATTTGAGTGCCAATGCAAGACATACGTTATTTCAATGTCAAGTGAATCAAGTAATAGTGGTTTGGGCGCACGTTGCGTAAGTAACACGCTAATTTGATCTTTAGACGTGATATTATGTGAACTTTTTGTGTTCTTTTTTACAACGTCCGTAAAAAAGGTTGTGTGTATCTAAAATGTTTAGGTTAGGACCGCTGTAGTTCGTAACCACGTTCAGTCTTTATTAAAATGCCGGATGGTGAAGCACCGCGTTGCGGTTGTGCGTCAATGCCATGGTGAGCTTTTTCGATTACTAATTAATTACTCATCGCTATTAAATGTTAAAAGGTAAAATTATATTAAATGGTAAAAACCGTTACTTTTGCGAATTCACTTTAATTTTAGCACGATAACCTTTTTTCAAATCTAGGTCTATTGTGTAAGGCGCCGTTACATTTGATTTGCGTTAGAATTCCCTGAATCCTTTTACTTACTTCGCCTAATTACTACTAAATAATAGCAGACTGACTATCTGTCCATAAATTGCGGATCCTTTGTCAGTCAGATGTATCATCAATCATTGTCGTCATAATTATCTGCGCGCGCATTTTTTTATGTCCTGTTGATATAACAATATATTGTAATATTATTAGTAAGTACATGAAACAACATAGAAACCTCTTGACGTCAATTTTAATTAACTTTAAACCAGAAAAACTTTACTGGCGTCATAGCCGATGTTCGAACTAAATACTTGCGGACTTTGAACCTGGCGGATGCTGTCGGCACTTTATCAGATATACGTATGTGTGTAATAATGCAGTTTTGTTTAAAACAAAAGCATTTTAACAAGTATGAAGTATATTATCTACATAATTTAATCTGCAGTAAAAAATAATATAGATATACTTACAACAGGATACTTGTCACGGTGTCATATCATACATAAAGCACCATTCATTACAATTTGTTCAATAAAGATAAAATAAAAGAGACGAAAGAACGAAAATGATAATCAATTACTTAATTTTTTTTTTTCAGTTTTTGTGCTCGTAAAGTCAGTAATACTTTTAAACTTCGCGTAAACAAACTCCAGTAACTAGTAGGTATTTAAGCCCTAGGGGCAAGAGTATTTTCACTTCTTATTATTAAGATCTCTTATTAAGATATGGAAAATTGTAACAACCAATTTTCGTTAAGTGACACTCCATTGTACATACCTAATTTTGAAGGAAAATCAAGAGGATCGTTCCTCAATGAATTTTTTTGTTCTATATACCAATTAAAAAATGCAATAAAATAACTACAATAGCACACTACAATAGTACAATAGTAGTGATTGGACATTTACCATGTTCTTTTTTATTCGCAAAATTTAAATAACAGAATTTGTAACTCTGTTATAAATCCTTTCTAATCTATAATTAATTTTAACATTCGAACTGTAGAATTTGATATATCCTATAAATATCGTTTTGAATAATTGTCCGACAATTTACTGTTTGGACGATAAAAACAATGTAGAGCCACGTTACAGATAGTTAAACACTTTATTCACTAATATGACAAAAACAAAAAAGGATTTACGGATAAAATGAAAAAGGAAAAATAAAAACATTTTTTTCATAACTGTGAAACGTAGCTGACTCAGAATATAGCTAGACAAGTTCCTTACACTGGTTTTCAAATCAAAACCAACGAGAGCTACTAAGTATGGAAGTTACTTGTAATTAAAAATATAAGAAACGCTTATGAGGGAAATTAATAATAATATGGCAGAGTGTACACAGTGCATCTAAAATAACAAGTGCATGTGGAGTTTCAAAATAGCCACCGTAAAGATAAAACGATTTCCCGCATAAAAAAATGTAATTAAACTATTGAAGGAATATTACATTATAAGATTTGGCAGTACGGTTAATTAGACGCCTTACAATTTTACTATCTACCTACTGATCCATCCTCTCACCATGAACTGGCGCGTGTGCATGGATATTTTCCACCTGTTTACGAGATCCAGAAATCTATATTTGAGATTTTATTATATTCTTTTTTTAGTGGCGATTCAAACAAAATTGATAAATAAGTATAATGAAAAGACGCATCCGGAGTTGATGTATAATACATAGTTTTTAAAATTTGTAATTTTTATTATGTATCTCAACATTACTAACCCCTCGAAAATATTTATTACAAAAACTTGTTTAGTGTGTAGGCTCAGAAACTGCATGCTAATT